AAAAAACAAACAAGCCCTAATTTTTTATTATTGTCACAGCAATTCAAACTGCTGATGAAATATTTGCATCTGGATGTATTTACATCTCACTAATGTTGCTAAAACAATCACTTTTAAAGTATATTTGCATAAAGAAATATTTAAACGCTTCATGTTTTAAGTTAAACTAAACTGCAGCATTAAAAGATAAGAGTACATATAAAATGAATCAATATGCGGTAAATGTAAACATCTTTTTTTAGACTCTACATGTAGGAAAGTTATGTCACATGGGTTTCCAGGAAAGAAAGAATGCAGTGAGGATTATTTCAATGCAGTGAGCGTCTGTGTAATGGTGTTGTAGCCTGTGATTATTAGCCCCTGGAGGTCTTCCGCTCTTTGTAAACAGGCTGAGCTAATGAGCCCCAGTGGGCTTGAAGATAAAGACAGGCGCCTGCACGTCAGTCTGACAGCCGAGCCAAGCCCCCTCATCCCCTCACATCTTTTATTCGCCACAATCAAAGCTGCTCCGCGCTCACTTCCTGAGCACGCCTGATGACAGAAGACTTTCTATGCATGCAAGGCTTTTATAGAAGTGTATATGCTAACAGCTTTAGTCTGTGTGTGGTAAAAAAAAAAAAAAAAAAAAAAAACTGGATACAATTCAAAAGCATCTATAGTCAGATCTGTGAAAGAAAGTTTGGATATGGAATCAATGACTAAGGCTGATGTTTCTGTAAAAATAAGCTAAGAACCATACAAGTATACAGACTGACAGTAGAGCAATTAATGTGACACTCATCCAGCATCATCAGAGACTCTACTTCCTCAGGCGGCTGAGACGAGCTGGTCTGGGAAGCTCAGTCCTCACCTCCTTCTACAGGTGTGCAGTGCAGAGCATCCTGTGCTCCAGCATCAACGTGTAGCATGGAGGCTGCACAGCTGCAGAAAGGAAAGCTCTGCAGAGAGTGGTGAAGGCTGCACAGAAGATGTTGGAGTCAGCCTCCCCACCATCACAGGCATCTACACCTCCAGATGCAGGAAGAGGGCCACCTGAATCATGAAGGACCCCACTCACCCAGCACTCACACTTTTTGCCCCACTCTCCTCAGGAAGGAGGTTGAGGAGCATTAAGTGTAGAACGACTAGACTGAGGAACAGCTTCTACCCTGAGGCTGTTAAGGCTCAAGTATACTCGGGCGTACTTCAGTCTGTCCGTACCAGATTAGACTCGAAGCGGACGCCTGCAGGGCATGTCCGTGCAAAGCTCAATTTTTATGACCGCGTAAACATACATGTCGCACAATAAACTGCCCGGCGACGGACTGTTTTGTATGTGTCACCAATGCATTAAATTCACCTTCTTCATCCCTGATCTGGTTTAATGACCGTTTCTTTTGTTTGTTTGTTTTTTTCCCAAGAGACAAGTGATCTCTTCCTAAACGTCCATTGACACCATGACTGAAATGATGAGAAATGAAGGAATTTGTCACAAGAGAATTAAAATCAGGTCCAGCGTGGCTGTGGGAGGGTCTGGAGATTTCCTGGCGGGCTGGTCTGATGTGTGGGCTGCAGGGCCAGCGCTGTTTATTTTATTTTTTTTTACTTTTTATTAACAACATATAAACACAGAACACCGCTGCGGCTGCCAGCTCTCGTTTCTTTATTTTAATTTTTTGTGACCTGTCAATCAATTTAGTAGGCCGATCAGGGTGGACCCTCGAGTATGAAGTCTCAACCCTCTGCGGACAGTGTGCGTCAAGTCCACGTGCAAAAAGGTCAGCGCGAGTATACTGGAGCCTTTAGACTCATGAATATCTAACCAGGATAATCACTGTGAAAAATCACATCATGCTGCTGCTGATCTGTTTCATGCTGCTGCTGATCTGTTTCATCATATTGCTGCTGATCTGTTTCATGTTGCTGCTCATCTGTTTCATCATATTGCTGCTCATCTGTTTCATCATGTTGCTGCTGATCTGTTTCATCATGTTGCTGCTGATCTGTTTCATCATGTTGCTGCTCATCTGTTTCATATTGCTGCTCATCTGTTTCATGTTGCTGCTGATCCGTTTCATGTTGCTGCTCATCTGTTTCATGTTGCTGCTTATCTGTTTCATCATGTTGCTGCTGATCTGTTTCATGTTGCTGCTCAT